AGACACAAGAAAATATCAAATTATTGAATGAAAGATGTGATAGAACTATATTGCGGACTATTGATAATTACTACCCTCTTTACCTATATTAAGTGATCCAAGAACATATTTCCCTCAAATTTTTGTAGAAGAATTTGAACATTTTATAAACATAACGTTATTTAAAAAGACACAATCATTTATCAGCACAGATCTAACTATACAGAAATAAGTAACTGAAGCAAACGCGATAAAAAATATAGCAGCACTGTGTTTTGAAATGAATTCAATAAAAATCATTACATCTGAGCAAAAAAAATTTTATTTCAAATATTTACTAATCACAACTTTACAAACTTAATTAAAAGTTAATGTCTTTCTAATTCGACTTCAAATACGTTAAAGAATGAAAAATTCTAATATTTAAGACTCTTTATTTATAATCAAAAACACTAGGAAAAATCGCTGTATCGTATTAGAATTCGCAAAGCTACAGAAAACAATCATTATATCACAATTAAAGTACAGGCCAAAATATTCTCTCACAGCTTTAATTCAAATCTAGTCAAAAAAGTCTAGATTACTTTCCGATCCTAACTCAACAGATATTCAATTTTTCGAAATATTAATCAAAATCCACGATTTTCCTAATGAATATCACGATGGAATGATATATATATCAGACAAGAAAAACAAATACGAAGCTTATTAAAAATAAAGTAAATATACGCGAATAAAATAAATAAAATAAAGTATAACAAAGCATAGTGACAAAGTAGTAACAAGAGTGACTTCCTATGCTCTTAATGATCCACAGGATCGTGTACCAATCTGGCTGGCTCTACCTAGTTATAATTAACAGACGTACTACAAAGTATGCCACCTATGAGATAGGTAAGAGTACCTACCTATAACTACATATGAATAAGAATATATAGGTAATGCAGATATCCTACCTATCCTATGTGGCCCCGCATTTAAAACATGACATGACAAGCACAGCAACATTGACTTCATAATTCACACACACGACACCTGGACGCTAGAGTTTGGCGCATCATTTTCACACTCTAATATAAGTACCATTTTGGCGAAACCGACTGACCAAAGCCAGTAGCCGTTGCGTAAAACACGCATTGTGATAAACGTTGTATATTTACGCAATTACAATTATGTTGCAATGCAAACGCAATTTGTTGCGATTAACGAACTATATATTGAAATAATAAATGAATTGAAGTAATATTTTAGCATAATCTTATATTAAAAACTATAGCAGCCCTACGAGAAGATATAAGATTTACATATTTAAGAAGTAACTGTTGAACAACGGTGTACACTGGCAATTAAGTTGAGAAAATTTACCAAAAAATTCTTAAAAAATATTGAACTAAACATTAGCTTCCATATATTATTTAATATATATTATTTAATATATCGTTTAATAAAAAATAAAAAGCTCTTTCTCTAGTACCTTTCGTTTATTAAATAAAATAATTAATTTAACGAAACATCCAAAGTTTTATTTTTTAAAAGATACATCCCGATTTTCCATGTTGCATTGAACCGAAAGGATCTACCTGATGAAGTCAAACAACGTTCTTACGTTTCTTTATGATTTATTATATATGCAGAACATTAAAACGATATCGAAACTAAAGAGATATTCCTTGATTTACCCCGATACTTGCAAGATAGAAGTAACTTTCGGATTTTATTTCCATCGTACAATGATTTAATGGTGTGATCAGCTGCAAGATTCATTAAAATTAGCGGCTGGCGACATCTAAGCAGTGACATTCTGTGATCCAGACACTTTATAGAAAAATAGCATCAGATCCCAAGCAATGTGGCAACACTGTGATTTCCGAAATCTGCAAACATTATTTTTATGAATACTAAAGTTAAACATTACCAGCATAATTAATAATGCGCACACAATATACAGATACGTCCAATGTCCAAATATGAAGAACGGAATAAATGAAAATATAAAGTAGGTAAAATAGTGGAACATAAATAAATAAAAAGCAAAAAAATAGGAAAAGAACCAAAATAAACGAATGTATAAAAGACGTTATCTAACTCTACAGTTGTTATACGAATGATGTGAATTTATATAACGACAGAATTGATAATATTTCTCTATACAGGTATTGTTCGAGTACCGAGACTTAAAAGGATCACAAAATCTACAGAAACGTGGAAACGAGAATAATATAAAGGATATTAAAACCAAGGGTTAAAATTTAAGACGATGATGTTGCTGAAAGATGTTACAGTGTGTATGGTTTTATGGATAGGCATTTTATGTTTTTTTTTTTATTATTTATTTATTTACATTTTACAATTTGTCCAGTAGGACATTTGGTAAAATATTATAGCGGCATTTTATCTGTACATACCTCTACCGATTTCGGTGTTCCCAGCGCGTAGATCACTGCATCAGCGATGTCTCTATCATTTAATAAAACTTCTGGGGAGACATTCATGAAACTATTAAGCTGTTTTGTCATATCCGTCCGAACAAATCCAGGGTTAATGGTCTATTTAAATATACAAATAAAACAATGTGAGAATTGTATATCCTTATAATACATGCATGACTACATTTTATCATTGAGAATTATATTAGTAAAAGAAACATCATAAACAATTCCATTGAGCCAATTTTAATTATAAAAGTAGGAACGTTATATATCAAGCAGCTTGATCGCATTCCAAATTCGTTGTAAAGAGGATAATTTAAAAAAGGAATATCATTGACAACCCATTTGATTTCATTTTGAACAATTTTCCTAAATATTGAAAAGGTAATTGTTTCGAGCAATCAAATTAACATTATTAGAAAAATGTAATAAGTTGCACTATTAATGAATGAACTTTCATTTTCATTGATTGTAATAATTTTAAATGGAACGATGCGTAATCATGAAAATTAGTTCACTTTAAATGGCTTACACCTTTACAGGACTTAAATCCCAGTCTGTACGAACCGAACAAAGATAGCACTATATAATATTGTATACATATGTAAATAATGACCTCTTACCGTTACTTTGATTTTCAGTTTGTACTGGGATATTTCGTGACGGAGTTCTATCCCTAGACCTTTTAGACCTAATTTACTAGGACCATATATGCCCATCGGTACGCTCACAGCTTCACAATATAATCCGGTTATGCTACAAATATACGTCATAATTAAAAATATCAAAATTCAACTGAGTGTGCAAAATTAGCATAATATCTTCATCCTGGATTTTAATAACACTTTTTTACGTTCTTCCTTCTATCAGGCAAACAACGAAAAAATAATAACAAATGAACAGTAGAATTCCAATGACTTCGCAGAAGAATAAGATAACCATAATTATTAAAAGAAAGATGTTTGCTTAAAGTTACATCGCGTTAAAAGAGCAAACATATCGTTTATTTTTATAGTTTTTGGTGTTGAGCTTACATCGACGGAAATTATATCGGTTGAGTGATTTATGGAATATAAAAATATAAAGATGCAGAGCAACACTTGCATATTGTCGAATTTATTCGATAAATGAGATCTTAGTTTAGTAAATCGGTCTATATCTGTATGAAATGCAAACATTATTTATTTATTCCGGCTTTACATTGTATTAAAAATAAATTTCTCCTCGTTTTCTTTGTGTCTGATAGGTCTATTATAGCTTTTTAAAATTCTAAGAATTATATGGGCAAAGTATTTCTCGAATTTAATTAAAGTTCATTCTAAGATAAAACAAATATTTTCTGACAACTCATACTTGACATTATTTAATGATTTAAGTAGTTGTAATTAAGCAAATATATACAATATAAATATAAAAGTATATTAAACAAAAACGTTATTGCCACGAATAGAGTTTCTTTTGTAGTGTTCGATATAAGAGTTATGTGTCTTGCAATGCATCATTTTATTATGAAAACTGAAACTATATATTTAGATTAAAAAAAAATAATAAGATTGCAAAGAATGAAGAGAAAGACAGGGTAATAAATATTTTCAAGCGACACAACGATTTTGTAAATTACTAAGGGAATAAATATAAGATGTAATAATTACCCTGAGATATTAATTATATGACCCCTAGCGTCGCGCAGTAAAACTTATTGGAACTACTTGTGTGTAGAATGGTAGGATTTTTCATATATTACTCGTATTATATACGTGTATCTTAATCATCTTTATTTTCCCAGGCACTCTGAACTGTTAAATTTCATACCCATTTTAGAGTTAGTAGTTTCTCGGGAGTTCCTCCTTGATATGATTTGAATTATAATTTATACCATCTGATGACTATCTCTAATGAATACTTTAAAATGCGTGAAAATGTCATTTGTAGAGATATCATCTTCTTAAAAATATCGCACTTTCGTCTTTTAATGTCACAAATTATTGATTTATCAATCCCGCGAGACGCTACTATTATTATTGTATTTATAATGTTATCTCTGTTTAATTAATACTTCACGTTTCTCCCGAACTCATAAGACGAAAACCTGAGATAAGAAACCTTAACACTTAACAAAGATAAAGCTGAGTATAAAATTGTAATGCATCTTTAACATAGCATAAGTCGCAGTCAGTAAAATATCAATGCCAATTTATAGGTAACAATTTATTCAAATTTATCACTTAGAAATTGTAACGACTGAGATTAACGTATCGTGTAAAATCAAAAATTCTTATTTGTTTTGTTTGTAAGTTTGAGCTTCCGATCCAACAAAACAAATATGCCTCTTCCTCGTACCGTGGTACGCTTTCAACAGTAAACCGGTGACTCTAACTTAATGACGTTAACTTAATAAATCAAGATCATTCAGAAAAATGTTTGTATTCACTCGAGCTGTTATGTTAATGGCAAAGCTAAATTGATTTTTTAGAAATTACTCACATATCTGACTTCTCAGATAATTCTAACGAATTCTGAGACACTAATTGCACATAAAAGCTATTTATCCAATGAAAGCTTTCCTACTTCAGCACAATAAGTGTATAACCAATGATTACTGGCAATATTTGAGAAGAAAAAAGATTACAGAAAAAGAAAATGCAAATACAAGCATGTTCGTAAAGCATCATAGGTTGATATCAATAAATATTTTACCCATGACATATGAGAAACTGAAGAGGCCAGCATTATTCACTAGAATGTCAACGCCACCAAACTTTTCCTCGATCCATTTGATCGCACTAAGTATTTGTTCTTCTTCCGTTATATCGCACTGGATCGGAAAAAATGTATGCTCTGCAATTAGTGCGGCAGCTTCCAGGAGCTTATCCATACTTCTTGCTAAACCAATCACGTTAATGCCATATTTAGCCAATTCTTTCGATATCGCGAGACCAATTCCTCTGCTCGCGCCGGTCACAATTGCGACTTTTCCTGACCAATAATTCATCACTCGTATTACCGTGGTGCAAAGTAACTGCGCGCGGAATACTTTTCCGTTATAAGAAGGATTTCAGACTCTGGCCCCTACCAATCAGCGGCCACTTGAGACGTCCCGTGGCAAGTAACGCGTATTTACATACGCGTGGAAACGAATATGTAATAACTTGCTATTTACAGAGTGCCCAGATGCGACGAGTTAAATATCTCAAAACACAAAATGAAAAATACGGAAGGATGTTTCGGATGAAAGTTATAAAAAAGCTGATGATGTAATCATGAAAATTCTGAGAAAAATCGCGATTATATTTCTTTCATATATTCATTATTGCGTGATTTGTATTTATAATCACAGCCAATACAAAATAAAGAACAATGTAAAAAGTGGCTGTCTATTCCATATGATCTCGAAAACCTATTCTACACAAGTGGTCGTTATATGTATTTGTTGATACCAGCTAACTTCTGTTTACCGAGTTCAAAACCTACGAGATAATGACGACTCATTACGAATTGGTTATTATGATCATTTTGGTAGTTTTGTGTTACAAACGCGTTCCTTATTTATTTTAACCGAAGAGATGGACGGTACATATTGTTACTTTGTAACGAAAGCTTTATTTGAAATCTTGGATAGTGGATCGTACATGTAACTCGATCATAATATTTAATTAAAAGTAACTAAAATATTTTGTCGGCCGGTCAAATTGACCGCTCGTCGATAAATTTGAAGGCAACAAGTATTTCATCTTCGTCCGTTACATCGCACTGGAACGGAAAAAAATACTCTCCAATCATTAAGGAAGCTTCCACGAGCTCATCCATACTTCTTGCTAAACCAATCACGTTAATGCCATATTTAGCCAATTCTTTCGATATCGCGAGACCAATTCCTCTGCTCGCGCCGGTCACAATTGCGACTTTTCCTGACCAATAATTCATCACTCGTATTACCGTGGTGCAAAGTAACTGCGCGCGGAATACTTTTCCGTTATAAGAAGGATTTCAGACTCTGGCCCCTACCAATCAGCGGCCACTTGAGACGTCCCGTGGCAAGTAACGCGTATTTACATACGCGTGGAAACGAATATGTAATAACTTGCTATTTACAGAGTGCCCAGATGCGACGAGTTAAATATCTCAAAACACAAAATGAAAAATACGGAAGGATGTTTCGGATGAAAGTTATAAAAAAGCTGATGATGTAATCATGAAAATTCTGAGAAAAATCGCGATTATATTTCTTTCATATATTCATTATTGCGTGATTTGTATTTATAATCACAGCCAATACAAAATAAAGAACAATGTAAAAAGTGGCTGTCTATTCCATATGATCTCGAAAACCTATTCTACACAAGTGGTCGTTATATGTATTTGTTGATACCAGCTAACTTCTGTTTACCGAGTTCAAAACCTACGAGATAATGACGACTCATTACGAATTGGTTATTATGATCATTTTGGTAGTTTTGTGTTACAAACGCGTTCCTTATTTATTTTAACCGAAGAGAAGGACGGGTACATATTGTTACTTTGTAACGAAATCTTTATTTGAAATCTTGGATAATGGATCGTACATGTAACTCCATAATAATATTTAATTAAGAGTAACTAAAATATTTTGTCGGCCGGTCAAATTGACCGCTCGTGGTAGGCAAGGCAGAATACAATTTTTTCTTAGAAAAAAAAAGCAAACTAAAAGTAACTATCGGAGAATAAATCGTATTCATGTTTTAGGAAAAGTCAGAACTTATGAAGGGATATTATAACGTTTAAATATGGTGTTACGTCCGGTGACTCTTTGCGTTCGAGGCGGCTACTAACTGTGCACATAGAATTAAGCGAATCGCAATAATCCTAAGGTACTGTCATAAAACGAAGCTTTTTGATTTTCCGTTAAAGCCGTCAAGTGGCATAAAACATCTTCGAGTCAAAAAATTCCTTATGGTTATTGCTCCATCAGGTAAAAATAGGGGAAACGTGGGTTTTGCCATGTTTCCCGGGATTCCACCCGCAAGCGACCAGTGATAGGGCGATCACCACCGAACAAGAGTTTTCCTTTGCAACAGCATTGTCACCGGACTTCGCTTGTTCATCATCTTTAGAACAGTCAACATCTCTTTACCGGATTCTCACTCTTCAATCAGTCACCTACTTAACTTATATCTACGCACCAGCGTACTGGTGGATACAAACTATCTTTTCTACAAAGTTGTTGGAAATGCGTAATATCTTTGAACTGTTAATCAAGTGTTATATTAATAAAACCATCTCTGTTATCCTAACCGAAATAGGGAATAGATCTGTTCGTGGCGTCGATTGTCTCGTAACGTAATGAGAATTTACGACTCCCGTTGACGCGCTTCCTCGCGATCGCGTCTCTTCGCGACTCGTCGAAAAAACATATGGTTACATTCGTGTAGAAGTTCGAAGACGGTCAATTTGACCAGCGTTGACAGGCCTAGTGTTAAAATAGCTATATTTTCCAACGTGACAGTTCTTCAATTAATGACATAACATTCAAGCCGAATTATTAGCGAAAGGTAAATAAGATGAGGGGATTAAATAGAACATCCACTTTATTATTTTATTGGTTATGAATGGACCGCAGATTTGTATGCATTTGTGGAATGTTTAGAGATGCAAAAACACACAAAGTGCACATAGTATGTAAAAATATATTAAATATCTAAAGAATTGTACTCTTTATAATATTTAATATATAAAACAATTTTTTAACCAAGTCCTAGTTTTCTAATTAAATCAAAAAGATATAAGATTTTACAGAGGTCCGTAAATATTGCAAACTAATGATGAATCATTAATCTTTATTCCACTATGGAAAACATTATAGAGCACTTATCTTGTCACATATATATCATCTTAATTACTTATTACTTTTTTTTGGAAATACTAATCGAAATCCAAGATTTGTCCAATGCCCAATGTCACGATAGAATGACATATATATCAGCCAAGAAAAACAAATACTAGGCTTATTACAAATAAAATAAATACCACGAATAAAATAAATAAAATATAACAAAATATAACAAAATATAAATAAAATATAACAGAATAAAATAAATAAAATATAACAAGAGTAACTTCCCATGCTCTAGATTTTTTTTTTATTATTATTTATTTATTTACATTTTACAATTTGTCCAGTAGGACATTTGGTAAAATATTATAGCTTGGTGATATAGCAATATAGCATGTGGATGGCTACCCCCAGTGGGATACCATCCTGCTATAGATGATCCAAAGGATCGTGTGCCTACCTATGAGATAGGTAAGAGTACCCACCTATCCTATGTAGACCTATATTTAAAACGTGACATGACAAGCAGACCAACATTGACTTCACGATTATCACGCACGACATCTGGGCACTAAAGTTTGGCACATCATTTGATGCGATCAGCGAACTATATATTGATGATACAAAATGAATACCAGATGTTGATGCACCTACACAGCACAAGTTCAGCTAGCCTGAGGACCCGCTATAAAACTTAGGTTTTTGTTAATTAAGGTTCTTCAAACGGACAGACAGTCTTTGTCCCAAATTGACCAATTAACAGCAACGTCAATTTCCCTTACTTTGTGAACGAGGGCTATTCTTGACGAATCCGATGATCTCGTGTCCTTAGACACACCCCATCATAATTTTCGTCTGTGGCATCATCGGGACGGAAAGTCATTCTTTCTTGCAATCTCATTGACGAAAAGAGTAAAGCCTTACGATCAGTGAGTATTACGCGTTTTAGTCCGACTTAGCTTTTGTGAGCAAGTACATTTATCATCCCGTTGACCGCGGATTCGCTATCGAACCTAAAACCAACATCACTAGTGTCGCGAGTGCCCAATCGCCGCGGTTGATTGTCAAGTCTGTAGTATCCATACTCGTGTTAACAAATCGTACCTTTGTTATACCATAACGATGGCCACTTCCAATGAAGATCTATCAAACGGCAACAATCCTATTCCTGACGCTACTCCGACATATATTTAAGAAGTTACTGTTGAACAACGGTGTACACTGGCAATTAAGCTGAGAAAATTTACCAAAAAATTCTTACAAAATATTGGACTAAACATTAGCTTCCATATATTATTAATATATATTATTTAATATATCGTTTAATAAAAAATAAGAAGCTCTTTCTCTACTACTTCTCGTTTATTAAATAAAATAATTAATTTAACGAAACATCCAAAGTTTTATTTCTTAAAGGATACATCCCGATTTCCCATGTTGCATTGAACCGAAAGAATCTACGTGATGAAGTCAAACAACGTTCTTACGTTTCTTTATGATTTATTATATATGCAGAACATTAAAACGATATCGAAACTAAAGAGATATTCCTTGATTTACCCCGATACTTGCAAGATAGAAGTAACTTTCGGATTTTATTTCCATCGTACAATGATTTAATGGTGTGATCAGCTGCAAGATTCATTAAAATTAGCGGCTGGCGACATCTAAGCAATGACAACCTGTGATTCAGTCAGTCAGGGAGCAGCAATGGTGCTATAACAGCATTAGATCCCATGCCTTGTGATAACACCGTGATTTCTGAAATCTGCAAACATTCTTTTTATGAATACTAAAATTAAACATTACCAGCATAATTAATAATGTGCACACAATATACAGATACGTCCAATGTCCAAATATGAAGAACGGAATAAATGAAAATATAAAGTAGGTAAAATAGTGGAACATAAATAAATAAAAAGCAATAAAATAGAAGAGGAGCTGAAATAAACGAATGTATAAAAAGCGATATGTAACTCTACAGTTGTTATACGAATTATATGAATTTATATAACGACAGAATAAATAATATTTCTTTATACTCTCTCTATACTATACTATTCTCTCTCTCTCTCTCTATACTATTCTCTCAAGGATTAAAATTTGAGATACAGTGTGTATGGTTTTATGGACAGGTATTTTATCTGTACATACCTCTAGCGTGTTCGATGTTCCTAGCACGCAAATCACTGTTTCGGCGATATCTGTACATGTTAATAAATCATCTAGGGGGACTCCCACGAAATTATAAAACTCTGTTAACATATCCAACTGAACAAATCCAGGGGTAATGGTCTATTTAAATATACAAATAAAACAATGTCAGAATATTATGTCCTTATAATACATGCATGACTACATTTTATCATTGAGAATTATATTAATAAAAGAAAAAAGTAAAAGAAACATCATAAACAATTCCATTGAGCCAATTTTAATTATAAAAGTAGGAACGTTATATATCAAGCAGCTTGATCGCATTCCAAATTCGTTGTAAAGAGGATAATTTAAAAAAGGAATATCATTGACAACCCATTTGATTTCATTTTGAACAATTTTCCTAACTATTGAAAAGGTAATTGTTTCGAGCAATCAAATTAACATTATTAATGTAATTAAAAATTAATTTGTTAAATTATTAATGTAATTAAAAATAATAATGTAATTAAAAATGTAATAAGTTGCACTATTAATGAATGAACTTTCACTTTCATTGATTGCAATAACTTTAAATGGAACGATGCGTAATCATGAAATATTAGTTCACTTTAAATGGTTTTACATCTTTACAGGACTTAAATCCCAGTCTTTACGAACCGAACGAAGATAGCACTATATAATATTGTATACATATGTAAATAATGGCCTCTTACCGTTACTTTGATATTCAGTTTGGACTGCGCTATCTCGCGACGTAGTTCTACCCCTAGAGCTCTTAAACCGCATTTACTAGGACCATACATGCCCATCGGTACGCTCTCAGCTTCAAGATATAATCCGGGTGTGCTACAAATATAGCGTCATAATTAAAAATGTCAAAATTCAGTTGAGTGTGCAAAATTAGCATAATATCTTCATTCTGGATTTTAATAACACTTTCTTACGTTCTTCCTTCTATCAGGCAATCAACGAAAAAGTAATAACAAATGAGCAGTAGAATTCCAATGACTTCGCAGAACGATAAAATAACCATAATTATTAAAAGAAAGATGTTTGCTTAAAGTTACATCGCGTTAAAGGAGCAAACATATCGTTTATTTTTATAGTTTTTGGTATTGAGCTTACATCGACGAAAATTATATCGGTTGAGTGATTTATGGAATATAAAAATATAAAGATGCAGTGCAACACTTGCATATTGTCGAATTTATTCGATAAATGAGATCTTAGTTTAGTAAATCGGTCTATATCTGTATGAATTGCAAACATTATTTATTTATTCCGGCTTTACATTGTATTAAAAATAAACTTCTCCTCGTTTTCTTTGTGTCTGATAGATTTATTATAGCTTTTTAAAATTCTAAGAATTATATGGGCAAAGTATTTCTCGAATTTAATTAAAGTTCATTCTAAGATAAAACAAATATTTTCTGACATACCCATACTTGACATTATTTAATGATTTAAGTAGTTGTAATTAAGCAAATATATACAATATAAATATAAAAATATATTAAACAAAAACGTTATTGCCACGAATAGAGTTTCTTTTGTAGTGTTCGATATAAGAGTTATGTGTCTTGCAATGCATCATTTTATTATGAAAACTGAAACTATATATTTAGATTAAAAAAAAATAATAAGATTGCAAAGAATGAAGAGAAAGACAGGGTAATAAATATTTTCAAGCGACACAATGATTTTGTAAATTACTAAGGGAATAAATATAAGATGTAATAATTACCCTGAGATATTAATTATATGACCCCTAGCGTCGCGTTTTCTTATAGAATTCATTGCTTCTCGTGCAAAAATTGTTGGAGCTATCAAGTTGGTATTAATGACGTTATGAATTTCGTCGGTTTCTGAGTCTGTAACAGAACGTTTATAATTAGATCTTACAAATACAAATATACATATCATTATGTATCCAAATTGCAGTAAAACTTATTGGAACTACTTGTGTGTAGAATGGTAGGATTTTTCATATATTACTCGTATTATATACGTGTATCTTAATCATCTTTATTTTCCCAGGCACTCTGAACTGTTAAATTTCATACCCATTTTAGAGTTAGTAGTTTCTCGGGAGTTCCTCCTTGATATGATTTGAATTATAATTTATACCATCTGATGACTATCTCTAATGAATACTTTAAAATGCGTGAAAATGTCATTTGTAGAGATATCATCTTCTTAAAAATATCGCACTTTCGTCTTTTAATGTCACAAATTATTGATTTATCAATCCCGCGAGACGCTACTATTATTATTGTATTTATAATGTTATCTCTGTTTAATTAATACTTCACGTTTCTCCCGAACTCATAAGACGAAAACCTGAGATAAGAAACCTTAACACTTAACAAAGATAAAGCTGAGTATAAAATTGTAATGCATCTTTAACATAGCATAAGTCGCAGTCAGTAAAATATCAATGCCAATTTATAGGTAACAATTTATTCAAATTTATCACTTAGAAATTGTAACGACTGAGATTAACGTATCGTGTAAAATCAAAAATTCTTATTTGTTTTGTTTGTAAGTTTAAGCTTCCGATCCAACAAAACAAATATGCCTCTTCCTCGTACCGTGGTACGCTTTCAACAGTAAACCGGTGACTCTAACTTAATGACGTTAACTTAATAAGTCAAGATCATTCAGAAAAATGTTTGTATTCACTCGAGCTGTTATGTTAATGGCAAAGCTAAATTGATTTTTTAGAAATTACTCACATATCTGACTTCTCAGATAATTCTAACGAATTCTGAGACACTAACTGCACATAAAAGCTATTTATCCAGTGAAAGCTTTCCTACTGCGGATAATGGTTTGCTACAGGAAAATCCTGGATACAAATATTATTCAGCCACCTGGCCACAAATGACTGGCATTAAACGAATCCAGAATATTGTAATCACTTTACACTTTCAGCACAATAAGTGTATAACCAATGATTACTGGCAATGCTTGAGAAGAAGAAAGATTACAGAAAAAGAAAATGCAAATGCAAGCATGTTCGTAAAGCATCATAGATTGATATTAATAAATATTTTACCCATGACATGTATGTAATTGATGATGCCAGCATTATTCACTAGAATGTCAACGCCTCCAAACTTTTCTTCGATAAATTTGAAGGCAACAAGTATTTCATCTTCGTCCGTTACATCGCACTGGAACGGAAAAAAATACTCTCCAATCATTAAGGAAGCTTCCACGAGCTCATCCATACTTCTTGCTAAACCAATCACGTTAATGCCATATTTAGCCAATTCTTTCGATATCGCGAGACCAATTCCTCTGCTCGCGCCGGTCACAATTGCGACTTTTCCTGACCAATAATTCATCACTCGTATTACCGTGGTGCAAAGTAACTGCGCGCGGAATACTTTTCCGTTATAAGAAGGATTTCAGACTCTGGCCCCTACCAATCAGCGGCCACTTGAGACGTCCCGTGGCAAGTAACGCGTATTTACATACGCGTGGAAACGAATATGTAATAACTTGCTATTTACAGAGTGCCCAGATGCGACGAGTTAAATATCTCAAAACACAAAATGAAAAATACGGAAGGATGTTTCGGATGAAAGTTATAAAAAAGCTGATGATGTAATCATGAAAATTCTGAGAAAAATCGCGATTATATTTCTTTCATATATTCATTATTGCGTGATTTGTATTTATAATCACAGCCAATACAAAATAAAGAACAATGTAAAAAGTGGCTGTCTATTCCATATGATCTCGAAAACCTATTCTACACAAGTGGTCGTTATATGTATTTGTTGATACCAGCTAACTTCTGTTTACCGAGTTCAAAACCTACGAGATAATGACGACTCGTTACGAAGTGATTATTATGATCACTTTGGTAGTTTTTGTGTTACAAACGCGTTCCTTATTTATTTTAACCGAAGAGATGGACGGTACATATTGTTACTTTGTAACGAAAGCTTTATTTGAAATCTTGGATAGTGGATCGTACATGTAACTCGATCATAATATTTAATTAAAAGTAACTAAAATATTTTGTCGGCCGGTCAAATTGACCGCTCGCGATAGGCAAGGCAGAATACAATTTTTTCTTAGAAAAGAAAAAAGGAAACTAAAAGTAACTATCAAAAAATATATCGTATTCATGTTTTAGGAGAAGTCAGAAATTATGAAGGGATATTATAACGTTTAAATATGGTGTTACAGTTCGCTGTGGAGTGCCGAAGCGTGCAGACGTGTCTCTAGTGC